ACACTGCAGGCCACGTTGACCCCAGCCTCGTGTGGAGTACCCCACTGCACCGCAGGCCTCGTCTCCTGCCTCGTGTGGAGTACCCCGCTATACCGCAGGCCATGTTGTCCCCAGCCTTGTGTGGAGTACCCTGCTGCACCGCGGGCCTCGTTGTCCCCAACCTCGTTTGGAAGACCCCGCTACACCGCGAGCCACGTTGTCCCCAACCTCGTGTGGAGGACCCCACTACACCACGGGCCTCGTCCCTGAGACCACAGGCTCGGCTTTCCCTGACTTTTGTACCCTCTGCCACGGTCGACCGTGTGTAGGTCAGCGTGGGCCCAGTCTGAAGCCAGGGGCCCTCTGCTTAGCACCTGTGGACTTATACAGCCAAGTTTTAGCACCCTGTAACCCCTGACGTCTGGCTGTCATCACTGCCGTCCTCCATGAGCTGTTTGTCTGGGAGGCCACAGTGCTGCCGAGCTCAGCTTGCCCTGGGCTCTGGGCCTTTGTGTGGTTGTGAGATGAACCCAGAAATGGACTGTGATTGCTTGACTTGCTTTCACATGTATGGTTAGGTTTTGCTTTTTAGAATTCTCTTAGTATTTCAGTAGAATAGCTGAATACTTAGCAGATGGCTCCTATTTGACAAATGCTTGATGCCTAGCAGAATAACATACTCCTTGGTACAGAGCCCGTGGTAGACAATAGACCCTGTCCACGAGGAGCTCTGGTAGCGTAGTGGTTACGAGTTGGGCTGCTAACCACAAGGACGGCAGTTTGAAACTATCAGTTGCTCCACGCAAGAAAGATGAGACTTTCTGCTCCTGTAGAGATGTACAGGTTTGGAAACTCTGTGTAGGGTCGCTATGAGTCAGAACCGACTCCATGGCGCACAACAACAACAACAACAAACGCAAGTGACAGCCAGAGTCTTTCCTTCATTCAGTAGGTAGGTGGCCATGTCCTGTGTCCAGAGCCCTGGACTCGACCCTCTAACCCAGTGCTGACTCCTGATGATCCTCTAAGGCAAAGTAGGACTGCCCCACAGGGTTTCCAAGACGACACTCTTTAAGGAAGCAGATGGCCACATGTTTCTCCCAAGGAGCAGCTGGTGGGTTTGAACCACCGGCCTTTGTTTAGCAGTTCAATGCTTCATCCACAGTGCTCCCGGAGCTCCTGCTAGGCCCTACTCATCATACAAAGATGGAAGATGTGGCTTTCTGTACACCACAGCAGAGACAGTGGGCACTTGAACAGTGGGACTGTCATGGGGGAGGCCCTAGGGCCAGGAGCTGTGCAGGCTGGTCAGTGAGGCAGGGGCATCGGCACAGACTTCAGGAAGAGGTCTCTGTCTCCAGGAATCAGGGCGCCTAGACCGCGGGATCATGGAGGAGACAGTGGAGACGGGGCTGGCATCTGTGGGGAGGAGCCTGGGGAAGGCACATCGTGCTCCATGTGATCACAAGTAGATGTAGGGCTTCTGTCTGCATGTGCCTCCCATCCCCCAGTCAGGGATGTCACAGGACTGGCAGATGGATGAGTGCTGTCCACCTCACATCCAGAGACAGACGCTGACGACCCCGAGCCTGAAGAGTTAGCTGGACTTCCAGAACCTTCCAGTTCAGGGCTAGGCGTGTGCTCTGTGTTAGCCCTGAGGGGTGTTCCAGCAGATGACAGGAAGGAGCTGCTTACCTGTGTGGAAAGCTCTTCCTATCTCCCCTGGCCCTGTAGCAGCCAGAGCAGCCGTGCTGACCTTGAATTTGATCCAGTCTTCCCTGGAGTATGGAGCCTAGAATTTCCCCTCAGGGACTTAAGGACATTTGAGCTGAGCTTTAAAAGTTTCTGAGAATTTTTGCCAGGAACAACAAGAGGGGTGGGCTGATGCTAGGTAAATTCCAGAAAATGTAGAGAACAGGAGCAAATATGCAGAACTGATATTGAAGGAGGTTGAGAAGGAGAAAGCCAACAGACATAATGGACAGAGCTGGGGAGGCTGGGCATTATCCTCCCAGTGAAGGAAGCCTCAATGCCCGTCTGTGTAATTCCACTCGTGACGTTCAGGAGCAGGCGAGATAACGGCCCTTCCTGGAACAAGTACAAGGAAGGACAGGAACAAGGACGTGTACAGGGGGGCGTGGGGGTGGCTGGTGTGTGACACCCCATAGGTTAAATTACCGATGTATTTTGAATTGTCGCTCGGTTGTCTTTCTACCCCAAGCGCCAATGACAGCAATGGTGAATTAGCTCTACCTAAAGGCAGCAGTGTGGTGCTGTGGGTTAATGCACCAGACTGCCAAGCCGTTTGAACTGCAAGGTCGGCAGTTCAAGCTCACCAGCTGCTCCTCGGAAACCCTAGACAGTGTCGCTATGGGTTGGAATTGACTCGACAGCAGTTTAACAGCAACAACAACAAAAAACAAAGGCAGCAGTGTTGTGTAAGGAAGGAGTCCTGAGAGCAGGTTGGACTGTAAGGGGCCACAGGAGAAGGTGACGGCTGAAGAAGCTGCGGTTTTCTGTGTTCTCTCACGGGGAGCGCGGTGCAGACCTTTTCTCTTTGTTCCCCCGGGATGTGTTACAGAAGTACAGATTGTAAGCAGATAGAAAGCTTTCTGAACTGTAAGAACTGCCCAGATCTGAGGATGCTCCCCCTTCGTCCCCCGGAGCTCTGCCTGGTACCCTGTAGGGGGCCGGCTGGGTGCCAAGTTCTGGGTAAGATGTTGAGGACACCAGTCTCACCCTCCAGTGGTACAGAGGGGGCCTTTACAAGAGAAACTGGCTGGAGCAGGGCTACAGGTGATGGAACCTGGGGAGCTGGAGGTACTACTGCACAGGTCACAGGGTGGTGGTGGGTACCTGTAGGAGAGGAGGTTGGTATTGCTGGAGCAGAACGTGTTGGGGGCAGGGGAGGGGGTGGGAGATGTAAGGGACACACTCCAGTGCCGAACGTTAACAATCCAGGTGGGTGCCAGGTGACCACCTGGCAGGTATGTCCACGGTGTCCTCAGATGCCCTCCAGGGTTTGGCCTTTCAAACCTGTGAAGTGGAGACAGTGTGGGTAGTAGTTGCAGCAAGCAAGGCAGACGCGCCTTCATTACGAGCTCTGCCCCTTCTCTGACGAGTATAAGCCGCTCTGAGCATGTCATCTGGAACTGAGGCTGGCACCTGCTTCGCAGAGTGGGAAGTTCCCACAAGGCAACAGCCCTTGACAGAGGAGAAGCCCTGGGTCCAAGATAGTTGCTGTCACTGTGTCAGTGAGATGGAGAGCTCAAGGCCAGGGAGTGGCTGAGGGGTGATCTTGGACGAGCTGCTGACATCGGGAGCCCCGTGAGTCGTCAGTGCAGGTGGCACCCCAACACAGATTCCCTCATGCTCATTATTGCTTGGAGCCCCATAAACCCCTTACTGACGTGTTTCTGGACAGTCCCTTCTGCTTGTGAATGAAATGCATCAGAGTTGTAGTTTATTTCAGGTTAAAGTCCAGGACACCCCACACAGATGCCTCCATGGAGAAGAGAGTCCTGAGACAGACAGGAACCAGCAAATGGAAAACAGCCCAGAAGTAGCGACTGCCACAGCCCCGAGCACTCATGGCTGGGGTGCTGCATAGGTTCCCGTGCATTTCCCCATCCCCTTTCCCTGAAGAACGGATCCTCTGTGTGTATATATGTCACTCGTCTTCTGAAGAAGACTTCTCAGGTATGTGACATAGTACTTCATACATTGGCTACACAGGGAAGATACGAGGGGGCTCCAGATGGTTCCAGCAGCCATGGAGTTACAAGACAACGGAAAATTTCCATGGACATTTTGAAGGCCCTCATACAAGTCTCCTAAATAAGAGCCTTGTTGGTACTGTAGGCTAAGTTGTGGATAGGTTGCCTCAGGTCAGCAGTTCAAGCCCACCACCCGCTCCGCTGGAATCTGCTCCCATAAAGGTTCAGTCTCAAACCCTATACAGGGTCGCTGTGAGCTGGAATCAACTCGATGACTGTGATGTCACACTTGTTCTTTGTAAGAGACTGTCTTAGATCCGTACGTGACACATTGAGCCGTGCACCCCTGCGCACCTGGGGTCAGTGGGTGTGGTAAAGCTGGACTTGGTGCTGAGGGGTGCCAGGAGAGCTGCTTGTTGTGATTTGTTACAAGTGTATGGAACCTTCTAGAAGCTGCTTGGCCAGACACTTCCTCCATTCTGCAGAGTACCCTGTTGAAGCCCTTCTCAATGAGAAGTTCTCAGGTGAGAGACCAACACCTCTTTTCCAGGTGACCTTGCCGGCTGGGCTTTCTCCTCTGCTTTCTGCGTCGGAATCGCCCGGCCTTTTGTCACCCAGCCAGAACTCTCGCTTTCTTCAGGGTGCAGCTCAGGATCCACTGAGAGGTGGCCCCTCCACTCAGAAAGCCTTGGCACAAGGTCACATCCTCTGAGGGACACTGTGACTGTCCCTCATGTGTTGGACAACACCAGGCTGCTGGTGGTCCAGGGGCCAGGCTCATGTTGACTTCCCTGGAGACCCTGGGCTGGACACTCGGAATCACCATTGGAACAAAATGCAGGGATTTGAGAGTTGTTTGAACTCTAAATGGTCATCTGTCCAGAAGTCTGGCCTGTCACTTAGGGCCCAGAAAAGAGAGGACACAGTCTTTGTGCCTGTGTGGTGGTACACGTGTACCCAGATGTGCATGGTTTTCATCTCTGTAACACCACGATGTGTTTCTGCATACATAATAAAATGTAATTTAAGCACAATTATAGAGTTTGACTTGTTTGTAATGAAGCTTTTATTGGTTAAAAAGGAGGAAACTTTTCTTCCAAGGAATGTAAAGCAGATTAGTTTTTTCCATTTGAGACCCTCCAGAGACCACTATTTGCTACTTGTGTTTTCTTTACTGGAAGGAACTTTGAGGCTATGGCATCTGCGAGGTAAGCACTAGCCCTCCAGCCGCGGCGGCGCCAATCTTACTCGCCCATTGTGTCCTTTGGTGATGACGTACCATTGCTCCTTCTGGTCTCTCCACAGTCAGAAAATGGGGAAGAAGAGTCGAGTGAAAACTCAGAAATCGGGCACTGGTGCTGCAGCGACCGTGTCCCCAAAGGAGATCCTGAACCTCACCAGCGAGCTGCTGCAGAGTAAGTGGGGGGGCGGGGCTGGACTCTCTCCTCTCTTCGTGTGTATGGGTGTGTGTGGATCATGGATCATGGTGTGAGGTGTGAAGTCGTGTGTGTTTCATGGTGGGAGGTGTGGAGTCGTGTGTGTGTGTTTCATGGTGTGAGGTGTGGAGTCGTGTGTGTGTGTGTGTGGGTTTCATGGTGTGAGGTGTGAAGTCGTGTGTGTGTGTTTCATGGTGTGAGGTGTGAAGTCGTGTGTGTGTTTCATGATGTGAGGTGTGAAGTGGGTGTGTGTGTGTGTTTCATGGTGTGAGGTGTGAAGTCGTGTGTGTGTGTGTTTCATGGTGTGAAGTTTGAAGTCCTGTGTATGTGTGTGTATGGATCATGGTGTGAGGTGAGGTGGGGCGTCTCCACTCCTGGGTACGTGTGGCGGATCGCTGGTGTGCAGTGTGGGGTCAGACTCAGCTGTGTGAGTGGTTAGAGAGGAGCGCTCCCTCGGCTGTGGAACCCCAGCTGCTCTGCCCCTCCTAATGAGCCGGAAGGAAGGAAGGAATGTGAAGCTTCAGTGGCATCAGTGCCTGGAACATGGTCTTCTCTTGAGGCCCATGGGCACGAACAGGTTCTGTTGCTTTTCAGAGATGGGCCCTTGGACAAACCTTAACCCCTTCTAGGCTGCAGAGAGAATAAGCGCATGCCAGGAGTGATTGTGTCCGGGTGTACGAGGCCATGCGTGTGCCTCTGTGCAGAGAGCCTTGCAGGGAGGTGGACACGCCTCTGCTCTCCTACTGGGACACCTAACCTCAGTGATTCAAGAATCTCACCCCTCCGCCCCCCATTTTCACACTGAATTTTGAGATCAAGGAAATGAAAGACTTAGGAATTTTTGCTTCAGTGTGTTAGTGTAATGATTATTTGTTGTGATTTTGAGTTGGGCCCGGCCTCCCTCCGTTAACCGTTTACCGTTAACCGTTTACCGGCCGGCCTCATCCTCTGCTCTTTATGGAGCTGCTGATATTGATTGACGTTTAGTCACAGTTCCTCTGGATAGCGTCTCTGACCTTGTGATCAACACAACAGTCCAGCGCTTATCCTGTAGTGCCACACCAAGACCCCTGTGTGACAAGTGTTGTTGTTAAGTGCTGTTGAATCGGTTCTGACTCATAGTAACCCTGTATTGGGTTTCCAAGGAGTGGTTGGTGGATTTGAATCACCAACCTTGTGGTTAGCAGCCCAGCACCAGGCCCGACTCCTTTGTGACAAATATCAGAGCCCACATACAAAACTGAGCTTTCTCCTCCTGCAGTAGCAGCAGCCACCTGGTGTGTCCCAGGAAGACTAGCCTGAACTCATCTTGTGTCACCTGCCTCCCCCACTGAGCAGCCTGTAAGCAGCTTGAGGCCAGGCCTGTGGCTTCTTCACCATTGTATCCCAGTGCCTTTATTGGTAGAGAAAGAGCTGTGACTGGCTGTCTGTAAGTGCCCACCTAGTTAGTGCTCTGCTTCTACCACACGTAGTCTTCGTTGGTCAGCAGAGTGTTCAGCCAGCACAGGGCAGGGGCCTCTTGAAACTGACACAGCTGGTGGTGAGAGAAAGGACCACTGACAGATGGGTGCCCATCCCGAAGTAGAGTCTCTGCTTCCTTTCTAGCAGAGCTGGAGCCGTGTCTCTGTCGCTCCCCCAGCGTGCTGACTATAGGGTCCCCCATGTGGATGTGGAGCGCTTGTGGGTGGGTTCTCCTTATGGCCAATGTAGCTGGCTCCTTTATAGAGCCATGGTTACAGGGCTTGATTAGAAAGAAGTGTTGACAGTTAATACTGCCTTCGTTCTGACCATCCCGGAGAGACTTCAGAGAAACATTTGCATTTTAGCGTAGCTCTTGAGAGGTCCCTGTGTACAAGTGTGTTCTGAGGCCCACTCAGGTCCCAGGCTCACAGCTAAATAAGCGGCCCCAGAGCAGCTTCCGAGGATTTTGTTCGTGGCTCCACTGCTCACGTCGGCTCTGTGAACCCACAGCAGCAGCCAGCTGCGTGTCCTTCTGAAGAGGAGCAGGTGAGGCTGGAGGGAAGCTACTACGCCTCAGTACCCCAGCTTTTCTGTTTTAGAGTGCAGCGGCCCTGCCCCCGGCCCAGGGAAGGAATGGGAAGAGTACGTGCAGATCCGGTCCCTCGTTGAGAAAATACGGAAAAAGCAAAAAGGTACATTTTCTAGAATTGTGTTGCACTCATAACATTAGGTGGAGACTTTGCCTAGTTCTGGAAGGTTCTGAGGGCCTAGGCGCCTGTCTGCAGAGGGAGAGGAAGGTGCCAGGCAGTAGTCAGTGTCCCCTCCGCCTCGGCTGGGCTCACACCTGCTCGGGAGAAGTAGAGACGTTGAGCTTGAGCGGGGAATGAAGTTTGGATCTTGGGGCTGAAATGACACAACTTTTATTTCTTTACCTAATGGAATACATATTTGGTGAAGACTCTTTGCTTGCTGTCTTTGCTTTAGGCCAGTACCTAACACATGTGTGAGCAACACATAAGCACATATGAGCCGGTTAGTGTCTTACAGCGTGTATCTGATTCACTCCCACTCCCTCTGACTAAGGAGGACACGAGCTCGTAGTTCTTAGGCCGTGTTTTTACAGGGAACTCCAAATGGTTTCTGCTTGACTTCTTACCTCAAGGTTGGTGGTTTGAACTAGCTCAGTGGTGTTGCAGAAGTAAGGCCTGGAGAAGTAAGCTTTGCTTCCATAAAGATTGTGCCCAAAAAAGCCGAACAGAGCAGTTCTGGTCTCTAACGTAGGATCCTCGTGAGTCAGGATTCATTCACTCACCGGTAGCAGCAGTGGTTTGGGGTTTGTTTGTTTGTTTTCCCGCTCAGTAGGGATCTTAATGACTGCTCATACCAGCCTAGAGTGGGTTTGGAAAAGCTGACTGGAGATGCCTGTTGTTTCTGCTCTGTAAAGCACAGCAAGGACACGTTGGTGTGCAGAGCCACAGTGGAGGCAGACAGAGAGCACACCGAGAGGAGTCGGCCTTGCAGAGGGGGAAGCACATCTTCGTAGACTCTTGACTGTCAAAGTGACCCAGAGCACAGCGTGTTTGTCTGTCTGCTGAGTGTGTTCCACCGGGGCATCATTGTGTTGAGTGACCTCACACTGTTACTGCATTCCCTCTCTTCCTTCATGGAGGGTGTTTATCTCTTTTCTGAATGTTTTTCAACTGAATGGATTACCCTCATGAAACTGTATAGTGATAGTGGATATTTACAAGTTTTACATAACTGGTATCATATACATGATTTGGTACAAAATGCTGTATTTAGTGTTGTATCTGTGTTGCTGTGCTTGGATTCTAGTCAGTTAAATTGCTCTGTCGGATTCGGTGGTGAGGCTCCTTTGTTCTTTGTTCATGGCCCTGGCTGGATGCCCTGGTGTCCAGTTTGCGCTCTTACACTTGCACATGTACGAGGGGGCTAGTTTTAGTCTTCAGTAGGGAGTGGGGTGTTTGTTCAAGTAGATGTGAATGTGGGAGATTGCACCTTGGCCTTCTAGGAAGAGAGCCCTTCTGGTGATCCTTGGTAAGAACTCACTGCCATTAAGTCGATTCTGCTTCATCGTGACCCTGTGTAGGGTTCCAAGATTACCAGTCTCTATGGTAGCAGACTGCCTCATCTTTCTGCCACAGAGCGGCTGGTGGATTTGAACTGCCAACCTTGCAGTTAGCAGCCCATCTCTTATAATACTACCATGGCTTCTTGGTGGTGGTGGCTGTGTGCCGTGG